CATGCAATATTGAATGTATGCTGGTCCCACCAATGCATAAGGTTGTCCCAATCGCACGATAGGTCACATGACGGTCTTGCAATATTAGTTTGTGCACAGTGTCAACGGTTTCCGGAACAACAACTGATTTTGGACGACCTCCACGAAATCCTTCTTCGAGTGAACTGCGACCTCGGGTGAACTCCCTACACCATCGATTAACACTGGCCCTGGATGGAGCTTCATCACCAAACTTGAACTAAGTCCATCCATGCATTCCTGTTGAGTTAGTCCACTTCGAAAGTTGTAGAAAATAATCGCGCGAAAAATGCTCACGGCTCAACTCCATAGCTTGGCCCAAACAAAATCTAATAACTTAGTGTAAACAACACAAATCGCGCTCCGATTTCGCAACGTAACCTCAAAATAGTCAAACTTTACGATAGTGGTGTCAGTTGCTAAATTGCTACACTAGTGTTGCCAAATCTCAAAATATAAAAGGCAACCCTCGTACTTATGGGATTTCACTGCCTGACGAAAACCTTGTCAAAATCTCGAGAATTCAAAGACTTCGATATTATTGCTATAGTTTCAGGTACAATGCAGGAGTGCGCGGAAGAAAGATATTCATTTATTTTGTTTATTTACTCATGCCCTGCAACCGTCCGTAAAATAAAATATTGTGCCTGTTATTGTCTGTTCTTCGTAAGAGAAACTTGTACCAATCGAAATTTCCCAATCTTTCCACTACTAAGCTACAGAATACACTGACACAGTTCAGCGCAATGAATTATGATAGGGCACCTTCAAAACATCGTTGTATTTAGAAAACAAACTGTTTATTTACTAGTTCATTCATCAGTAATAATCAGTGAATAATACCAAATAATCCAAAACTAGTCCAAAAATGTCTGTTTTCTGGACACATACCGATCAACGCTTTACAAGATGCTAAATTACCCGAAATTTCGCCACCTTTCTCAACAGGATTAGGCAATATCTGCCTGATGCCTCATGCTCCAGTCCAACCCTCTACGGAGAAAGGGAACTAGCGTCGAGAATGATCTGAACCCACTCATCAGTTTCGGCTTCCATAGAAAGAAACATATGTGTAGCGTAAGGTCTGAGCATTTCTTCTACGCTGAACACCTTCTTGTCAGTGAAAAGTGTGTCGTGTCGAAGTGCGTGCCGCAGCCAATAGGGCACGATATTTGTTCACCCTCTTGAACTTCATCTCGTCAGAAAGTGTAGGGAACCTCCAAAATCTATATGGATACAGTTGTAATTGCTCGAGGAATACTCTTCCCATCCAAGTAGCAGATACATTCAGTTCGGTATGTGCAAATGACGAGTGGTTTTTTAAAACGATTCGCAAACTGCGCGGCTGCCAGACGAGAGCCTTCGTAATTTTTCAAAAGTTGACGAATTCAGACCAGCAAAACAGACATGTGAGATAAAGTACTCATAAACATAATAGAAAGGCTAAATATTAAAAAATCCTGAATGACGGAACTGCCCTTTCTCGCAAACTTCTTGTCATATTTATGGCGCACTCTTTATTGTTTGTATCTGCAGACCAGCCTAATCCGTCTATCGGAGCTCAATCTCGAGCGTGTTTACTCAATCGACAACACTACAGTTTGCCACGGAAAGTGAGGAACGTTTGCTATTGGTTTGTATTGCTATCCAGTGGCAACTGACCATGGAGTCAGCTTCCTTTCGGCTAGTCAGGGCTGGAGCTCTAGGTTCGACAGGTTTCGCCTCTGACAAGGATTCTCAGGTGTGAACAGCGCGAAGACGTGCGGACACAGGTGGACTCGATGCCGTCATTTCGCTTTCGACTTCCTACAAAAATGTAGGTCAACGCGTGCGGTCGCTCTCCGTCTACTATACGCGCTGTGTATCTTACTCTTTGGTCTACTTCCTCATTTCTTCACCTTTGTTTTCGTTTTGAAAAGCTGACAAAGTTGAGAATTAGTCCGCTTTATGAGTTTCGTACAACATTTGTGAGATGGCTCCAAAATCCTTCCTTGTCCTTCACTTTGTCTTTTTCTCTTCATTCAAACTCATTGTGTTAGTCCTAATCGTTACTGTTTGATGAAATATTGTAAAATAGCAACAATATTGTGCAAACTATTGATTTTATTCCTTTCTAAAATGCTTCAATAACTTTGCGTACGAACGCGATGTTGAACGCGTAAGCAGTACGAGCTTGACCCAAATTTTCCGAGTACAAGCTGAATTTTCTGATAAAGGAAAGGTTCGAACCCAAACCAATCCAAGAGCACCGCAAAATTTTCGGTTTAGCAGAGGAACTGGATGTGTAAATGTCGCATGTGCCATACTAAGTGACACTCTGACAGCTATAAATTTTTCATATATAAGTTAATGGAAGCACCGTACTGCAACCATCACGTTGCCATCCACGATGAGTCTTTATTGTGACTTCATGATTTGTTATTTATTTCATTTCAATATATATTTATATGTGTTTTATATATACTGACAGCTTGCAAGTACTTCTGAGTGGCTGTGAAAATAACCCCTCCCAGTAGAAAAGTCCATAGTCAAACCTAGTTGGCATAGGTTCTACCCCCTCAATTTTGCTGGCATTTCGAACATATGAAATCTTTTGGATGCTCAGTTTGAATTGGTCTTTGAAATATCAAATATCACCTAGCATAAGTCTGTGTACTCTCAGCCCTCCCCTCTCAGCTTTCTTCGTCACCGATGAACAACAATACCAACTCTTAGGTTTTGTTGAAGGGTACCTCAGAATTTCCAAAAACTTTGACTTAAAAACGGTGCCTCCAGTATACCCCTGAATGTAGTTCTTATTTTGAATTGACACTACATATGCGATGCTGAATCTGTAACTGCTGCAAACTAAGATCGAGTTTTCATTGAAAGTTCAGTTCAGTTCGGACATCTCTGGTGAATCCAGTATTTACAACAAATCGTTAATTCCTTCCATGTAAAAATAAGACCTATCTGTTGATTGTTTTATTGAGACACTATGGTTTTTATATAACAGTTTTCATCGAACGCTATTCTCACGCATAGTGGACCCAACACCAACAACTTTCTCTCCCAGTCAAACCTCACTCATTAGCACTGTTTCTGCATCAAAAGTGTTTCTAAAATCAATCCCATTGCAGATTTGGGAACTACTTCATTCTTCATCGGCATCATGGAGAAGGTTTGATTTGGTGATGTATTCCTAAAATTGCTGGAATTCTTATATATCTTTAATCAGGCGCCGAAACCTTTGACACGGATTCTTCCACTTTGGATCGAGGTTTGGCTGGTGATGTCAGCAGTCATTTGTTTTCTTGATGTTATGTTCACCATGCTTCGTCCTCATACCACTGAAGGATTTCTTTCCAGCCTCTACCTGCCATGTAAGTCTAACTTGTAGGATATTTTAAAAGATAAAGTGGTCGTTTCACTAATGTAAAAAAGACTTCTTGTTCAAACTTTCTTTTAAACGGTTTTCAACAGTATAGGGCCTCCGTGAAGTTCTAAGCCAAACATGAGCTAATATCTTATAAAACAAATCACTTCAAAAATCGGATACCATTTACGCCTTTTGTGCTCTCCTTCGGCAGACGTATGTATGTACTGCAGCAGGACCTGCATCCCTGCCAAAGTCATGTCAAATTTTGAATAAAGGCTTAGGAACTAGAAACTGGTGAGAGAGGAAGTGGTTGAAGTCACAGAATCATTTGTCATTTATGAGAAAGTTGCTACAGATCATTTGCAAAGAGGGCAAGAAGACTGAGGTAGTAGGAAACCATTGCTCCGAATTCCCATCATTCTCTACTTTGATGTATCTATAGGGGATCGGCTTACAAACCTGCAATTTTTCAAAGTTGTCTTACAATTAGAAAGGGTTCAGTTATTGGTATGCTGTACCCGGAATTGTTCGGAGGGGATCGAATGATTATTCCTTCTCTTCCTGCTCAAGAGGCACTCAACAGAAATTGGCTCCTATTGCCTGTAGTAGTATAATTGTTATACGGGAGAAGAGTTAGGGTATGAAATGAATGATTTATCCAGAATTCGTTGAGTTCATATACCAGTCTTACAGATCAGATCACTAGTTAGGAGTTTATCACGGGTCACGTAGACCTTCGGTACCAGTCATATGTATTACTGCAAGGACAGAAACCAACAAAGTTTCTTATGGTTTTGAAAAAGTCCTAATGTTACTAAATCTTGAAGGGAACTTATATGCCAGTGTAGACGTTCGCTATGCCGATGAAAAAGACGTCGTGACTTGCGGTACAGGACGAGTGATGCTCATCGAAATTGTGATGAATCTGATTGCAGTGGTTATGGTGAGATACTCGAATTTTCCTGTTTGGCATCAAAAATCTTGTGGATGTGTGGATTCCGATAAAAAGGTAATTCATTGCAGTCTCGACGATTATCGCGTCATGCGCTTTTGACAGCATTCACGACAAGTGCATTCGTTTTCTGGAAAACATTCTGGTTTCTCACTCTATACGTTATGCCACCAACTGGTAAGACTTTATTTCATTTGCTGAATAGCCATGGGTAGATACTCCGAGCAGAGGTTGTTGAATGCGGTCTCATTGGTACCAATTGATAGACAGAGGTAGCGCAGCGATGAGAGCTAGACTGGATACGAGGCAACCGCTCACAAGGTCGATGACGATGACTTAAGGACGGGCAATGACAATGATGAAATATGCAGAGTTGTCGCTAATCGTAGGCAGGCCACAAAGAAGCCCCTCGTTCTTCTCCGGTCACTGTACCTTCCCAGTGGGGCCATTCCTGAACAGCGACAGTGTTCCTTTAGAGTCGTTTGAAAGGCACGAACTGGAGGCGGCGAAAAAGGAAGGATGGTCTCGGTGGTCAAGTGGAATGACAAACATACGTGAATCAGATGCTGAAAAACTATGGTATCACCTACCTGTCGAGCCGTGGGCCGGACCCTCCGCCCGTCCGATCTCGCATCAGGGTTCTGACGGGGGTGAGCCCGGTCACGGTGCGATTCGTAAAGTTCTGACGGACCTGAGGGACTCACATGCTCGCTAGCTCTTCCTGCCACGGGCATTGCACGAAGGACACTAGGCCCTATTGTCCCAGAGAACTCTCGTCCCTTACGCTTCATCGGTACGGAGACTACGCTAGGCACTTGTGAATTATTCCCTCATCTCCAAGACGGTTTCCATCCACGATAGATACTGCTACTACGCTGAACCCAAGCACTTTAACCGTTTGACGAGGAATACGCAAGTTTTCCCAACTTCTTCGTGTGATAGAAAGGGTGAGAGCAACATAGAATGACATTAGCAATGAATTCTTGTTATTACGTCAAACACGTTAAACTGTAAAACACACGACAATAGTCACTATAATAGTTATGGCGTCCTACGCCGGCTATTGCTCAATACATTATGAAAAAATAAGGTCGAAACCTGAACTTAGACTCACGAGAACCGCGTACTCCCCCTCTCGTGAGTCTAAGTTCAGGTTTCGACCTTATTATTTCATGATGTATTCCATTGTCGTAGCGATATCGATATACAACGATACAACGATAATAAAATATACGCAGTCCCCTATACGAGTACGACAGCACGGTAAGCAGAATATCAGAGCCGGTACGCGAGAAAAGTAACATTAAGACGAGGGGGCGACCGGGTAGACCGTAACGGGGGAACCGGAGACTACGCTGTACGTGGTACTAGCAGCGAACCAATACGGAAGAAGACGATGTGAAGACTGAATCAAGACTGAAGCCTTTCCTGGGCCCGGTGGTGCGTGGGATACACATTGGCTGCGTACGTTGTCGGCGTGCTAGGATCCGTGCACGCCCAAAGAAGTGTGACCCTTTAATAGAGTTGTACGCAGGTCACGACACTGGGGGCGGCGAGAGGCGAGTGGGTCCTAGCGATGATGGAAGGAGGACCCCGTAATTACCTACAGCGACTACGCTGACTAATTTTACAAACACGTTAGTTAACCGGTGGATCCTACGTGGCCTAACTACCTACGGAGGGTTCGAGGGAAAGTCAACATTGGTGGGCCATGAACTCTTCTATAACACAATACGTTGGAGATATCACAGTACACAATACAATGGCGAACTTATAATTGTAACGAATTGACGCATAAATGGGATCAATGGACGATGTGGGTGTTCTTGAACGGCTGGCTGTTGACGATATCGACGACGTAGGCTTGAGTTGGACTTGACGATGTTGAGCGACGTAGTTGATGTTGACGAAGTTAGTGTACGACGATGCACAATGAGGGGTTCCTTGAAGTAGAGCTGCACTGTGAGTTTTACCGCACTTGTGGGGCTGTTTTGTGCGAGGGAGAGATTTTGACCTCGCCTTGTCGAAAGAAACCCCTGGTCAATCAAGAAGAAAGCAAAAGAAGGACGACCGAGATGTGCAAAAGAAGAAGCAGTCTCCCACCGCTCCCCGAGAACTACGCTGATACTGCGAAGAAAGCACGACTGGGCTTGAAGCCCTACGCTTAATCGACTATGATGTGGTAGCTGCACCAATATAGGTGCTACGCTGAGACGAAGAATGTTACACTTTGTACGTTTAAGTTGGAGCTAAGCTTGATGAAGTTGTTACGCTGTTTTGGCTACGCGGAACTAAATAACATCTTTTCTTTGTTTGTTTGCATTTTTGTTGTTGTTTGTCTCTACGCGGATGTGTTACAATTCAAGAAAACAATTATCAGGGACCTATGGTACTCTGTTATCAATAAGTTAAGCAAATGAAATAAAGTAAGCAAAGCAATTAAGAGATCAAAAAACAAAGGAAAGCACAGAATCGATAAATTGATTACCTGGTTAATGATTTTCTTCGTGGTGCAACAAAGTGTAGGCGAATTGCTCGTCTTCTCGCTCGAGTTCCCTGACGAGGTATGTAATCCAGCGGGCGCGGCGCATACTCTTACAATAACCTTTATGTGTGACATCACGAATGAAGCCTTTATTGTAAGGGCAAAAGGCCGTGTGGTGATCCCCTGCCCTACAGCTCTTACAGGTAATCCGCCGATGGTCGCTAGTGCAATGCTTGTCCAGGTGTGGTCCCCCGCACCGAAAACACTTTCCGCTACGCGAATGGATGTAAATTCTGTAGGTAAGGTACGGGAAGTTGCGACACTGTGCGAAATAGTGATGTTGTCTACAGAAAAAACAATGTGAGCGGGACGCCACTGGGTCGTCCGAGCGTCTCGTTCTTTAAGTTTCTTCTATTGGTGTACGCCTTAGTACGAATCTTTCGATTGTACGTTCCGAATTATGGACGGCGAAAGGAGGACGGACTTCGTGTGATGGGGGCTACGCTGGAGGTACGCTGAGAGGGAGTTAATGCTCTGTCGGTTCAAAAATTCTTCGAATGGCAAGCCGTGACCGACTGTGTTTGATGATTAAGTTTCTTCTTCTTGAGGTGGTTTGGGGCCGAGAGTAAATCCTGTTTTCTAAGAGATGTAGCAATAGGACATGAACTAATATGTGCGACGAGGCAACAAGAGTCAAAGAGAAATCAGTTCAAATAGTCTCTGACGGAGAGATCGATAAAAGTAGATCGATTCTAAAGAATGCATGATTCTGTTACAACAATCCGTCGGATTGGTTGCAGTAGAATCTTAAACGGGCATGAAAAAGGAACGCTTAAACGGATGGTATTGCTCGCACGAATATCGAGGATTACGTCGTGGACTGGTTTTCCTACTACTATCCGAACGCTGATCGATAATTTGCGAAATTACGCAAACAAAAAATTTAAGAGTTCTGGTATTGTTTGGATGCGTGTTGATTGCAGACTCAATCATCAACCGTCTTATAAATGAATCGTCTATAACTTTAAATGGACTTTCACCTTTAGCACGACATTGTTATAATGGATTGAGGTTGTAATAATGGATGGACGTTGTTCGATTACGCGTCGAAACTACATGTTGATTAGTTAGTATAAGATAAACACAAGAACGTTGTATGTAGTAGACAAGTTACGCGTCAAAACTACAATGAACAAATAGCTGGGTTATACGTGAATAAAGTGCGTTACGCGTGGGTTCTGCACAAATCGTTGATCAGTCAAACGACGAACTCGAAAGTAACGTGTGAATAACGAGATTAGGTTTTAATGATGTAAAACTGCTTATTGCTGTAAGGAAGGTTCCAGAAATAAGATGAGATACATTCAAATTGCGCGCTTAGCCAGAATGCGGAACGCAACAAAATTTACATGCCCGTCCGTGGCAATTTGCCAACTTTTGTAGAGATTCGTTGTGGGACCCCTGCTGGCACAGTGGCACGGCCGTGCCGGGGTTAGTCCGCAGGCGATCGATTGCGACGAGACGGTTCAATTTAAATTAAATAACTGATGAGAAAGTGGGTGCCGCCAATTGCAGTGATTATAGGAGTTTAAAAATGTCAATGAAACATCTTCCAAGAGCAAGGAGGTCGTGGGGGCTCTCAAACGGCAGATCTTCAGGCCCTTGCTAATTGCCCACTTACTGTTTTTAGTTAGATCCTTTCCTCGGAGCACGGTTTTTCGAATAGTCATTTATATGCCCTTCTGCCCTTGGAGGCATGTGGATGTAACAAATTTAAAAAAATTGAACAAAGTGAGTCTCATCCTTCATAGGCTGCGGCTTATAAGGGATCCCTGGTTAAGAGCGTGTCACGTGTTTTGCATGTATATGTGAATTAATGGAAGGATTATCCTTGGTAGTTATCAAGAAAAAACAGCAGATGACTGCCAGTGCTTGAACATTAAAAGGATTATCTTTGTTGTCTTTCAACATAACTAGATTGTCATTGTGTTCTATTGTAACACTTATGTTATGCGCTAGGCGGGAAGGAAGCAGGGTTCTTTGAACCACCACACGATTTCTGAAGATCATTCTGCATCATTGGCGGAAGTTCAGGGCGCTGGAAGGAAACTTGCTGGAGAACTTCGTAATTTAGACATTGAACTCCGTAACCCTCATCTATCGTTATCGATGCCCAAAGCGCAGGTGGTTGCAAATGGGGAAATTTTTATGACATTTGAAATGACGGTAACCATCTACAGTACTTTACCAAGCCNNAAAAACAATTTATTAGGCGACATTATCTGCTTCCTTAACTAGCTACCAAATCCCAACGATTGGAAAAGTAGCAAGGCCTTTGTAGGACGATTAGGGCCAACCGTTGTTTCATTTTAATCAATCTAATCACTCGGGCTATTTACAAGATAGCCCTTCCGTCAACAAGTTCACTTTCAATGACAAATTTGATGCAATATTAACCTTGGTCGTGGTCACGAAGATTGGACAACATGGCAAAGCTGAGCGATCGCATCCGATCTTTGTTTCTTGTTTTGAACGAAATCAACTTCCCCAACTTCTTCCATTATGCTTTTCCAACCAAGCTTTCATTTCCAAGCCAAAAATGTGCAGATCGGAGTTGAAGCGGGGCCACGGCCGTGGCACCGTGGGTCCCACGACGAATCTCTACAAAAATTGGCGAATTGCCACGGACGGGCATGTAAATTTTGTTGCGTCCGCTGAACGCGCCCTACG